ATCACAATCGTAGTATTGAGCAAAATAGCAAACAAACAAAAAACAAAAAAAAAACAAAACAAAAGCCAGACTCCCAAAACACATACTGTTTGATTTTATTTATATCAAGTTCAAAATGGGCGAAACTAATCTATGATGGTATAAGTCAGGATAGTCATTAACTTTGGATAAGGAGAATGGTATAGAAATAGGGATGGAGCATAAGGTGAGGATCGTGATATAATAGTTCTATTTATTAACTTGGGCTCTTCTAATGTTAGTACCTTCACTTTATAAAAATCCATTGATTTGATTTGTGACCTTTTCTGTATGCATGTTATTCTTCAATAGAATTTGTTTTAAAAAAAAGAAAACAAATGAAGAGCTAAGTGATGAGTATTTATATAGAGTAGAAGAAAGATGGTCCTCTATGCCCGTGCACAGAAAGGTTGTGGGTCAATTCCTGGTCAGGGCACAGGCCTGAGTTGTGGGCTCTATCCCTGGTAGGGGATGTGCAGGAGGCAGCTGATTGATACCTCACTCTCACATCAATGTTTCTCTCTCTCTCTCCCTCTCCCTTCCTCTCTTTCTAAAAGTCAACAAAAATCTTTTAAAAACAACACAATGATCTTCTATGAGGGCCACCCTACAAGAATGGCAAGGTAATGTTCTTGGGGATTACATGGATTCAAAAGTTCTCTAATATAAAGAGATCTCTGTAAGGCAATTATAGATCAATTACATATTATTTTTCACAAGATCTAAGAGAGAAAGAGAAAGATGAGAATTAAAAGCAAACACAACATCAAATGATACATTACAGGAAACTTTTAGCACCATCTTAAAGGTAATATGGTTAGGACTCCTCCATTTCACTTTCTAATGATTCTAGAAATCAATGACACATTGCCAATGGAACTACTTACTCACTTAAGCATAGCTGACAATTCACAGGGTTAGCAAGACCTGAGGAAAACAGGCCTGCTACATAAAGAGAAAATGTATTTGTTTTACATAAACATCTCTAAAAGGCCCCAAATAATATTCAACTCAACAAGTATTTAAGTACTCTAAACATAACAAGTACTACAATCAGTTACTATAGAAAAAGACAAAAAAAGAAGTCAGATTTCTGAAGAGTTCTAGTATAAAGACACAAGATTTATTAAACAAAATCAACAGGCATAACAACTACAGAATCATCCCAAGACAGGATATAGTGGGTGGGTTGCAAGAGTAGAGTTATTGAGAGAGAAAATGGGATAGGTATAACAGAGCCAGTTAGTCAAAAGCCTGGAATATCATACTGAAAATTCTAGATTTAAATCTATGGAGAACTATTTTACCTAGATCCCACTCCCCTAAAAATATTTTTTGATTTAATGATTCCTAGTTATTTTCAACCTTAATAAATAATGTTGAAATCTGGATAACTGAAGTTCTATCTAGTTAAAACAAGAGATGTTCTATGAAAAGTTAAATTTGAATTCCGTAACATCACCTCAAATAATTAAGAACATATTCCAAGTATCCCCAACAATCCTGAATAAACCCTTATTAAAATGCACATATATATTTTTCTAAATATTCTTAAACCTTAACGTTTCAATTCAGATCATCTCTTGGGGCAATAATTTTAATAAGATACTACTCTTATTTGCCTCCTCGCCCAAATAATCTTTCAGGCATTAAAATATATTTAGTAGCTAACATAGTGTTTGGCTCATATCATGCTTTCTATTTATTGACCTGAATGGATAAATTACACCAATATATTAAACTTAGTCATCTCTCTCATGGTTTAGTAGACTTTCATTATACTCCTCCTTCAACCTTCCTCTCTCTTGACTGAAAAAAAAAAAAAAAACAGAAAGTCCCTCCATCCTTTTGGTTAATTTAATTGGGTTTCTGGGGACTTTTATCAGCTGTTAGGTTTTTCTTAAGGAGTAACCACCAGAATTTCCTGTATGATTATGAATATAAATCTACTTTTGGTCTTTTACATGGAAAAGATAAAGGTTTTATTATTTTGTCATTGTTTTCAACACCCTTCCTTTATGATGTCCACCATATTCTTGGCTTTGAGGACCACAATAAAAAAGTGGGCCAACTTCACAGAATAATCAACAGTGATTTTTATTTTTATACTCTAACAATCATATTGTATATTTTATAACTCAGAGACTGATATTTCTCTTGAGATCATCACGACTATCCAGATAAATCTACAGGTACTCAGCTACTCCAGCTGAAGGAGAATTATGATTCCAGGTCCAAAGTGACCCTCTCACTTTTTATCATCAGCAGCTGTGTCCCCACTGGGGAGGCTTTCCTATAACAATCCCCTTAGAGAACTTTGCTGATTTATGTATCCTGATTGCCCTAATTTCCTTGTGTATCCTGTTTTAAAAGTTTTTAATTGAGAGATGACATACATATATCTTCAGTGATTTCTTGATTCCTTTCTTGGGTTATAACTGAGTCTATCATATCATAAGCATGGATAGGTTTGAATGGCTTTATAAAAATGAAGTACCTTTGACAGTTCTGCCCATTTGGTCTCAAGAGATCATGCTGCAATTTATTCTCATCAGTTTGCCTTCACTCCTTACAAATAAACTGGTGAGAAACCTGAATGTTCTGCCCATTGAAGGGTGTATTATTTTTATCTTTCTTCCGCTCCACCTAACAGTTGCTGTAACAACAACTGTCTGTGTTAGAAAACTAAAATATAAAAGTGTGACCTACGTGGCCAAATCCCAAAAGGCTGTTTACTTCCTTATTTATGAATCAGAACCTGTCAGCACAACTTAGACTGTCAGCAGATACTGCAATTAAATGTCCCTGCAAAGCCAGCAGAGGGTGCACCAGGGCACTAGAAATTTTACCCAAAATGTAGCAGTATCAACTAACTCTAATAGCCAATCAACTTTTTTTTTCTTTTTGGTATACTAAAACTAATATCCTCAAGATAAACTTAAGTTGAATCTGGGTTAAAATTCCTTCAAAGCATGTTCCAATTCTCCTGAAAGTGAAGTTCAGCAAGAAATACATAGTTAAGCCTGGCCAAAACATAGATGGAGTAGAACTGATCCATCTATTTTGGAAAAATTCTAGTGTGGAGATCCACTCCACTCTCCCCCAAAAGGCTCCAGGAGGTAGTTTGATATAGGGAAATGGACACTTAACTGGGAGTCAAGAGACCAACACCTTGGACAAGTCACTCCCCCCTCAGTGCCTATGTGTTCTCCAAGAGAATAAAACAAAATGGACTCATGGCCACTCACAACTCTAAAAAAACAAACAACTGACTGAAATTGGTGTCAGCAAATGTAAAGAGCCAGTGTGCATACTTCTGCTGTTCAAAAACATTAAAACAGACAGAATAAAGGACAGAAGAGAGGGAGCTGTATTTAAACCTAGACAGGACTATTTGAAGTTCCATGCACACAGCGGGCAACTAAATGCCATTATAGACCTGTGAGAGTCCCACATCATCACAGAAGCCCTAGAGTACAGCTGTCCTGCCAATCCTCCTGGGTCTGTCTATTCTGAATGCCAAAAAGCCTTGGCTACCATTGGACTAAAATTAAATTCCTTCATCTTTTCACATAATATCAATGTTTAGCTGCTAAGTATTTCTACTGGGCATTAGAGGGGGTGGTGGATAAAGGGAGCCAGAATTCTAGTAAATTATCATTTAGCTACAGTGTTTAAAGTTTCAAGTATGAGAAGCATGTCTACTGATTATTTGATAAGCTGTTATATAAGTTGGAGTGTGCTAGCAATATATTTTAAGGTTCAGGGCAACTTTACAATTCACATCATAGAAAAATGTGACAGTCCTAACATTACAATAGTATCATGAGTGTGACACCAGCACAAATAACATTTATGGAGTATGACAATGACTCTGATGTGGTAGTAAATATAGAAGGCCTTGGTCTCTCGACTCAGGAAACTTATTAGCAAAACTTGCCCTCTTCCCCAAGAGGAACAAATTCACTATTATTCTTTAACCACCACAAAAGGATTTTTGGATGCTTCTCTTAAGTTTCACATAAGGCAAAATTTGGAGGTCAAGAGGATACTGAATTTCAGTGCACTAAACTTACTTGAATAAAGAACTAGAAAGAGTAGAAAACAAACACCAAAGCTGCTAAAAAGGACAAAAACACCATAAAGATTGCGAAACACACACAAATACACACAACTGCTCGTGAGAGATTACTCTAGTATTTATTCCATCAGTAGACTCCTGTTCTCAAGCTAGCAACAGCAAGACACTTCACACCCACCCTCTCCATCCCACTCCCCCAAAAAGAGTACGAATGGGAGTTTTATTTCCATAGATTTTTAAAATTTCTCTTCAGAAGTTGTCTAGCAAGATTGCATATTTCTATCAGAATTCCTGAGGCACTGATCCTCACTACAACACCCAGGACAATCAGTCTCAAATTGCAGGTAAGTGTGAACAAGCCCACGTTCTGGTCAGCGCACAAGGATCCGCTCTGGAAATATCATTAAAAGTTGTTTCAACGGCCCTGGAGCAGTTATTACAGCTGTTTACAGCTCCAATTCCAAATGAGAGCCTGCTAGTGCTGGCATCAACTCTGGACACGAAAAAACAAGCACCACAGGCAGAGAATCTAATCTCATCAAGAGCAGAGGGGCCAAACTGCTGCCGCTAGTCCGCCAGAGGGGCAGCACCCATACCTCCTCACCGGCGGCCCAGCCGGGAACTCAGCCAACTTTTCCCGAGGCAGCCTGTAGCCGGGGGCGGCGGACGCGGGCTAGGGCTTCCAAGTCCGGGTCCTGAGGGAGTCTGGGAGCTGGGCGAGGGAAAGGGGACAACCTGCCCCAGGGCAACCTCTCTCCAGTTCGCCTGCTCCCTCCCTGGTCCTGCCCTCCTACGTGGCTGGAGGTAGCTGAGTCGCCCACGGGGTCGGTGGGGGAGGGCCCCCGTCCTACCCATAAAGGGAGGGGGCCTCTGCAGCCGCCGCCCCAGCCTAGTGACTCACCTGGTGCCCGTCCTGAGAGTCTGGTGGGAGAGTTGTTTCTCTAGGTTCTAGCGGCTGCTGCTGAAGTGAAGGCTGCCTAAAGTGGCGGGTGATGGGACCGTCGGGGTCCAGGCCACCGGGTCTACTCAGGGTGCAGCAGCACAATGTCAGCAGGTGGAGGGCCAGCGAGAGGCCGAAGAAGCCCAGGAAGAGCCGGCAGCTGTTCCCTTCACCCGCCCGGGCAC